TTTCCTGCTGTAGCAACTTTTGAACTTTGTTACAGTTTTCCAAATGGCAAAGGAGCTCTGGTGCCGAGGCTTATTAGGCTGCATTTATCCCTCAGCAGTTTCTATAAGCATTGTGTTAGCAAAGAATGAAATGGCATTTTAAAAAGTACAGAGGTTTTCATTATCTTCCAGCCTTCTGAGAAGGTTATTATGGTCAAAAACTATCCCTTGTAGAACTATACTGACTCTAGGGGCCGCAACAGCTATATTGTCTATTTATTCACACTAAAAAATAACTTGGATAGAGACTCCAGTACTGAGAACTCATACAGTAGTTTAGTTGGATAAGAGAACTTCAAAAGCTACGGCATATAAGCTTGGATATCTGTTGTTTCTTGTAATTTCTCCTATTTGAAATTTTTATGACACTCAAATATATCCTGGCTGCTTAGCAGCACAATTTGCACATGATTTCTTTCCTACAGAGCCTAAAATGGAACAGTAAGTATGTTCCACTGAGTGTATAAACAGAAATAGCAGGCGGGGAGGAAGGGGAACAGTTACAAGAGCCATGAGGTCTGGAAGATGCATTTTAATCAGACACAAATATCATCCTTATTTTGAAGTAGTAATGGCTTTTGACAGCCTGCTCTATTCAGGGGGTCTGATTAATGGTCCTTTCTGGTCCTAAAAACCTATGAATTAGTCACAGCCCAGGCAGCGGTGCACCTTTGGCAGATGTTAAGGTCTGAAAACTTCAAATACCTTGTGAAATTCAGCCTCACACTCCCTAGCATGCAGACCAACTTTTTCAGATTTTGGGGATTGATAACAAGGTTTTCTCAGCAGGCTTTGGGACTAACGGAGCACTCTGCAGCTCCTGCTGATGTTGAGCCAGGTTTGGGAGGGCTCATAAACCACCTGAAGCACCAGCTGCCACCCAAGCAGGGTGAGCTGTGAGACTGACATTTCGCTGTCATACGTGGTACAGAAAAAACAGCACTTGCTAAATTATTGCTTGGGCTTAGTAAAGAATTTGGTGGTTAATCTTTGCAAATCACTTTGAAGTTGGGAAAAAAACCCCACCAAAGCACCTCTAATCTTTATAAAAGCCTTTTTTTATAGGAAATATCCACCTTTTGCACCCAGCTATTCCTAGCAGAGGTGTTGTGGAGAGGGGCTTTTTTAATGCTCTCTTAGCTATTTTGCAGACAGAGAACAAAGACATTGACAAAACTTTGTCGTTGGTGATGACACTGAGAAACATTAAAAAAAGTTTTGAGTCAACCTGTGGCAAATTTCTTTCCAAAATGAAACACTCATCACCCAAAATGCTTCAATCAAAAAACAAAATAATTTTTTCTGTCTACTGATTTTACAAATTATCTGTCCATGTAGCCTTGAAATAAAATTTTGGAAAAAAAAAATCAAGTATTTTGCTCTGAAACTGTCAAACATTCTTTTAAATTGTGCTGTTAAAAAGCATTTACAATGCACTGTACTTTGGATGGCTTCTAAGAAAACAAACTTCAACAGTTAAATAATTTATACTTACTTTGCAAATACATAAATGACCACAGAAATTGCAGGATGTGGAAGAATTATACATTCTAATCCTCCCACTGCTACTGTATAAGGCACCTGATTCAACAACCAAAGTGGTCATTAAAATACAATCAAAAAATGAAAGTTGAAAAGAAAAGAAACTGTGAATTTATAGCAGAAGGCATTTTATAAATATTTCACCATATTGAAAATATATATGCAAGCAGTATACAAACTAGACAACATACGAACACAGAACTGCTTAAGTAAAAGAAAAATCCCAAATAGGTGTAAGCTGTCCCTTGCATGGCTTTGGGCTGCAAAACATGCTAAGGTCCATCAGATTAATGAGATTCTGGAACAGCTCGCTGCCTCTCCAGATTTAAAATCTGATTTTAAAATGGCACTCGCTTTACAAAAGGATTGCATAGCACAATCAAGGTAGCAAGGAGCAAAGTTCCTCTCAAGAGGTGCCTTCCTGTCACATGTTGCTGGGAGCAGGCAGATGTGCACAAAGCCACTGCCACAGCACATGGATGGCAGAAGCAGAGCTAAGGGGATGGTGACATGAAAATGTCCTTTAGGAGGGTCAATGCCAGAGCTTACGACTGAGATTGCCTCTCAACTCTGGGTGTTAGTCTTAACAATCCCAGTATGAAAAACTCTCCATTTAAAGAGCAATACTGTCATTAAAGGAAAATACTGAGGCTGGGTGAATAGAATATCATGTTTCAAAAGTTGTTACCTTTTTGATTCCATTTATTATTGATGTAGGTCTAGTTATATGATTTGCCGACATTTAGAGTATATCAGAGCATTTTTAAAAAAAAACAAAAGCCAAGAAAACCGAACCCCAAACATTAAAAACTGCTGAATAGGTTAAATAGAATATTTTAAAAGCTGTTATTTATTTGATTCCATTTATAGTTGATATAGCTCTAGTTATGTGATTTCACAGAATCACAGAATCACAGAACGTTAGGGATTGGAAGGGACCTCAAAAGATCATCTAGTCCAATCCCCCTGCCGGAGCAGGAACACCTAGATGAGGTTGCACAGGAAGGCGTCCAGGCAGGTTTTGAATGTCTCCAGAGAAGGAGACTCCACAACCTCTCTGGGCAGCCTGTTCCAGTGCTCTGTCACCCTCACTGAGAAGAAGTTTCTTCTCAAATTTAAGTGGAACCTCCTGTGTTCCAGCTTGTGTCCGTTACCTCTTGTCCTATCATTGTTTGTCACCGAGAAGAGCCTGGCTCCATCCTCGTGACACTCACCCTTTAAATATTTATAAACATGAATGAGGTCTCCCCTCAGTCTCCTCTTCTGCAAACTAAAGAGACCCAGCTCCCTCAGCCGTTCCTCATAAGGGAGATGCTCCACTCCCTTGATCATCTTTGTAGCCCTACGCTGGACTCTCTCCAGCAGTTCCCTGTCCTTCTTGAACTGAGGGGCCCAGAACTGGACACAATATTCCAAATGCGGTCTCACCAGGGCAGAGTAGAGGGGGAGGAGAACCTCTCTTGACCTACTAACCACCCCCCTCCTGATACACCCCAGGATGCCATTGGCCTTCTTGGCCACAAGGGCACAGTGCTGGCTCATGGTCATCCTGCTGTCCACCAGGACATTTAGAGTATATCAGAGCATTTAAAAAAAACCCAAACAAACAAAACATAAAAAAACTTGTTTGTGAGGCATCCAACTAACATTAGTTTGATAGAACAAAAATGCACTCACCTAGATATTATCAGTGCCCTGTAAAGCCATTTAGACTAGCAAGGCCATATTCTACCAAACACAAGGGACATTTAAAAACAAGATTGTAGGTAATGTTTTTTAAAACACAACGATAAAATACTACTCTTGCCCAACCCAAATTGCCCAAATTAAAGTGTTGCTACACGGTGCAAAAAATTAAGTATATTATCCAGGTATGATCTTTACCCCTTAGAAATATACACGTGGGCCCCACTGAGGCTTGTATGTATGTAGTTTAAGTAGCTAGCTCACAATTGAAAAGCCCTTTCTGTCAGGGAATATTTTGGGAAACCTACTCTTAATATTCCTTTTGCTAAGTTTATTCTATTTTGCTTTGGGAAACTTCACAGATCTCCTTTGCCTGGACAATATTAATAGATTTAATCTAACATCTCAGTTACATAGATATCATCAGAGTTTCCTTAAGCCCTAGATTAGCAAGACCATATTTTGCTGAACGTGGGTAGCATTTTAGGATGAGCAGGATAAGTGAATATTTGGAACTGATGTTTTAAAAAGCAAAAAATTACTTTTTGAACGTCTCTCCCACATGCTTTCATATTGTTCTTTGAGCTTCAAGGAGGAAAGATGTTCTTCTTGATATGCATAATTTAAAGTGATTTTTCTGTTTCGCATACAACCTTGGGTATTTTGTAGGACAATAAAGAATATCGACACCAAAACTTCCCAGATCAAAAAAACCTGTTCCCATCTGTTCCTCTCTCAGTCTGACTCAGGAGGAATAACTGCCTCTGAGAATCACTGATACTCAGATCAGCCCTTTTCCCCCACACTTTTTGGCTAGAGCTACCTGGATTTTAGCCAGAACATGCAGATTTGTGGAAACAAAAGCCTTGGGGCTGTTTGCTCCAACCTATTGAATTTTACAAAATCCCATGGGTGCCACCAGGCATCACTTGGTTTCCCACCAGACTTCCCTACTTGGCAGCGGAAGAGGCCAGAAGTCAAGAGGAGGCAGTAGCCCAAACTTGCCAAGTTTTTTGGGATCCTTCGGCTCATGATCTTCACCATGAGGTCCAGCAGGATCTCCTAGTTGATGTCTGTTGCGACCAATAAAACAGGGCTGAGCACCTGAGCATCATCTGCCCTATCTCGTGGTTAGCAGTCCACCCTTGGCATGGCTTGGGCACGTGCCCACCAACAGGAGCGGAGTTTGGTCCCTGCCATGATGCAGAGAAGTGCAGGAGATGCCTGGGCTCTCCACGACCACATTTCTTTGCGGCAATAAAGTTGCAACCGGTTGTGTAGTTGTTTTTTTTTCCAATTCTAAACTGAGGCATTTTCTCTTTCAAAATGTTTAATTTCCATTCCAAGCAGGACAACTCCCCAGCCACTACCTCCAGTATGCTCCAACCTAGTTTATGTTTTAAGTAACCCTCCCCAGTCTCAGTCTTCCTCTCTCATCTGTAGCACAAGGGCTCTTTGTTTTCTGTCCTCCTACTGATCACTGCTTTGCTGTGTCAGGGTAAGAGCGCACAGTAGGGCAGGCCTGCAGTCCTTTGCATTTATTCATGATGTCTTGGTGGCACAGAGGAACCATTTACATCTCATGTTTCTGACTTGCTGACCCTGACCAATGCCCTTCTCATAGCCTTTCAGATTCAGTGGACCGTTAGCATCATTAAATACATGTAAAATATAAGCCCATATCTACATGACTTCTTGCTATAAGAAAGAGATGAAATCCTCATTTTCCTTTGCCGTCTTATCAGCATCAGCTGGCGGCAGCCCAAAATAACCTTTCTTCACCTGGTTTCCTCCATCTCCCTGCCTTTCTATCAGTACTACTACTAGGGGTCAGTTGCACCAGCATCTCCATTAACACCATCTATTTGATTCTGTTGTACAGAAAAACAGGCCAAAGTTCTGATTGGAGTGGCCTGGAGCCTTTCTTTCCTGTTCTCCATACCGACTCTGATTATTTTTGGGAAAAGGCAGCTCTCCAATGGGGAAGTACAGTGCTGGGCTCTTTGGCCTGATGACTCGTACTGGATACCCTACATGACAGTGGTGGCTTTCCTGGTGTATTTCATTCCTCTGATCATTATCAGGTAAGCCTGAACTGCAGTCAGTAGCTTGTGGTGAAAGCTGTCAAGTGTGCAATCAGCTCAATGCTTTAATTTCTACTCATTCATAGTGATTTCTTTTCCACACCTGTCTTACAGTTGCTTCGGTTTTTATCACGTAATGCATGGGTCGTTGTACTTGCCCTGGGTGTTCTTCATGTGGTATTAATAGCCAGAAACATTTTCTCTGACAAAAAGGACTGAATCTCTAAGTGTGTCCACTTATCTTCACAGATTCAGTCTTGAAACTTGTCTTTATAAATCCAGTAATAATGTCTAGCTATTGTGACAAAACATAGTTTTAATAAAAGAACAAGAAACCACACTTAACATTAATTAAACTGAAATTAACTGAGAGTGCTCTTAAGATTCGCAGTACTAGAAGAGTGTTTCTTCACCAGAATCGGAAAGAAATCTCCAGACATTTGGAGCTGCCAACCACTCCTTAAATATGAACAAATAAAATTCTTCCTGTTTCATAATGGGAAACCTGAGCTGAAAATATTTGACACTGATTTGCCCAAAATCACAAAAATGATCTGCAGCAGAATCTGCTTTTAAACTGAGATCGGTCAATATCCCAGACTGTGCTTGGTAATCAGTGAATTTTATTGCCTCTCTCTGTGGTTCTGCCATTAGTCACTGTTAAACAAAAACTATCTAGCCATGAGGAGCCAGTATTGCAAAGGAGCAGTCAAACACTGATGTGGAAGAGGAGTGAGGCTTCTTAACTGCCTTGAAGGCTGTGGGTGGCAGTAACTTGTTCTCCAAGCCCAGAAGTATTCCACTCCTTTCTTTCGCTTTTATTCTCTTTCAGTAGTGAGGTTATAATATGAATTCTTCATGCCCATCTCTTCTTAGTGGCAAAGAACACTTTCTGGGACTCCTTTTGTTTCCCAAAACTTGGTGACAGGCTGTTTAGTCTGGGAGAGAGAAGCTATGTCTGCATGTCCCTTGGACACCTCTCATGGTTCATCCACTTTCCCAGAAGGTGATGAGCCATGAGTCTCAGATATCTTCCTGCTCATTAGTACCCCAGGTGAGAGCAGGGTGACGGGGCTGATCTTTTCTAGATGATGACAGGACTGGCTACATAAGATAAAAAGTAAAGACTGTGCCATGGTTTTAGTTCTTTTCCAGTTGAGTTGTGCCTTGAAGTTTCTTACTGTTAAATCACGGATAATAGGTTCTGCAGCTTAGAACAACAAAGAAACAACTTTATCTCTGAGAAAACCAAAACCACACAAGCATGGAAACTACATTGACTTTTTGAAATAGATTCAGCATTGACCTGTGTCGGTCCCTATAGAGAAGGAACAATTTTAATACTTTGCCGTAACACATCAGTTTGCTAATCCTTCCATTTTTGTGCCAGATTGCACAGATATCCAAACAAAATCATGAGAAGTTCTCCTTGAAGAAAGGACATTATAGCAATAGAGAAAAACTACTCCCAGATTATCCGACAGCTCCTCCTTCCTAGACAGGATCATTTCTCTTTGTATGTTTGCCTGTATCTTAAAACCAGCCTAGTTTTAAATAAGCCAAAAAATATTCTTGAGACTATGCAAGTAAAAAATGTGCATCTGCAGCCCAGCACTAGCAGCAGAAAGAGTAAACACAGAGACAAAAAATAATTTAACTGTGCAAAAGAAATTGCACTACAAAACTTTGAGGCTGGCTGTTACTATGAAAGGAGTTTTATTACTAATTCTCTCAAGTAGCTGGCAATCAGAAAATTCTAGTCAGCATCTGAAGTGTTTTAGAAAAAAGGCCCATAGTCTGTCCAGTTATCAGTCCTTCCACAGGTGTGTGAAGCATCTTTTTCACACTCAAACTTACAGTTTTGCACGCTTTCTATTACAGATCAGCCACTCCTTTTTACATGGCATATTTATTTATTTGGAAAGAAAAAACAAAATACATAGCAATAAATTTTTCAGAGCTGCTGACATTATGCTCCCCTCCTCCCTGCCAGAGGAAGATACTCAAACCAGATCAGCTCTGTGACTTGCTTTACAGCAAATCCTCAGAAGCAAGAAGGCAATGAGGACACAAGGGGAAAGGGAAAGGCAGTGAAACTGACATTTCATGAGATTGCCCTGACAGCTGAGACATGAATAAAGCATTCTAAAATTTTTGTGGCTTTAGCCTTAAGTGACTTTCACGCAAGAAGTTTATGGCAGGACAGAAACTTAAAACACTGTCTTTGGAGCCACGAGGCAGAGCAGTGTTCATTGCGAGCGTAAATAGGTTCCTGGTTTCAGTGTACACTAACCCAAATGCTCCCACGTCCTTGTCAACAGAAGTCAAATTTTTTACAGGTCCTACATGGTACTGGGCAGTGAGAAGAGGGAAAGGGAGTGGCATAGGGAAGGATTTTTTTGTGCTGATTTATTTCTAGTTGTCAGTGATACCATTTTTGTTAGAATAGAGAAGATTGTCTAACACCATATAAAAAGAGGTTCATCATCAGGGCGAGGTCAGCAGAGACATTATGAACAAACACCATGTAGTTTGGAAAGAACTAACTACTTTTTTAGAACATTTTTTTTAAGTTTCAGGCATACAACTGCAGGTTGCAACTTCCCAGCTGATGCATCTGTAAAACGTCTGTCAACATACATGTCAAGGCATGACATCTAATTCTTTAAAATCTCTTGGCAGTCCAAGAGTTTAAAGCTAATCCACCTAATGTGACTGCAACATATAAATACTCTGGTAAGCAGTTTGCAGCTAAAGAATGACAGGAATGACTGCTAACATCGGCAGGGACTCAAATTCTCTGCAAAAGTTTTGTTCCACTGAATACTTTCAGGTGCACAGTGGTAGGTTTGATGACAAATGAGATGCTGGTTCAGAAGAATGAGAGAGAGATCACATATGCTATAGTTACGTGTTACTTTGTTGAAAGACTAATTATTAAAACGAGTGGTGTTCTTTAATAAATTAAGGAAGGCATATTGTGGTTTTTTAATTTAATGGCCTTTCACTGAAGATGTTATTAAAGAAAGGCCATAACATAATGATGGAGAGACAATCCATAAATGTGCAACTGAAAAGTCAAGAAACAGTATCTAAGAAGCCAGGAATACGAATAAGCCAGAAGCCAAGGCACACACCACACTCACCGAGGAAGTGAGGCAGGGTGCACACAGAGAAAGAATAATATATTTTCTGCAATAATTCATTTTTGTTTGCACAGCTACTTTATTTTCTCTACTGAAGTGCTCTGATTTAGCTGCATGGCAGGTGCCTGAAGCAATGTGGGACACTGGCCGGCGGAGTTAATTCTTAATTAGTTCTGCCACCTGAATCCGCTGAAAACATAACCTCTAGAGCAAAGCAGTTCACTGATGACAGCACTTTTTCTCGTGCAGCTCATCTGAAGTGCATACAAAGGATAAAATTTCACTTTTCAGGTGCAGGACTTAATTCCACACTCGATATGCCACTTTGAGCATTTTGCACTTGCTACAGTCCAGTTACCACCATCTTTTCAGCTACCCTCAGCTCTCTCGGCAAAGCTGATTTCACGTGTTCCTGACACAGCCTTCAAATAACTCACAGGAGTGGTATGATTCATAACACCACAGCCCATGGAATGAATTATTTAGCTGATAACCGTATGCTCAGTCTGGAAAACCCTTCTACCGACAAGCCAATCCCCTAGATGTAGTGTGAGCAAACCCTAAAGATTTCCAAGCCAAAACATGAACCAGAAGAAAACAATAATCTCTCTTTTTTTAAAGTATATATAAAAAGGTAGTTTATGAACAAAACTGCAACAAGCATGAAAGATGTAATTACTAGGGAGGTCTGTCTCTACGTTTCTTCACTGGAATATCAGCAACCAGTTACCAAACAGCTCATGGTTTTGTGGCAAGTTTTCTACCTGATTACAATATGAAAGAACAAGACCTGAATAATGACAAGAGAATGAAAAGCTGTGATTAGGTTTTTCACCTAAGTGTGTGGTTATCTTTGAGAGCTGAGGAAAGGGGAGAATATTTGCTCTTTCCATGTAAAAGCTTCCCTTCTCCTCGCTATCTCAGTGTTGGTCAGAGAGAGCCACAGATCCTATATCAGGTTCTTCTTCACAGCACTCAAAATTCTGGCTTGTTCTTCCCTCTTCTTTAGACTAATCTATCACTTTTTCTGGAGTTCCAGAAAATTAGAAAAATTAATTAGGCAACCTGCAGTAATTAGTTCTCTATTATTCTGAGACAGGTGCCATCAGCTATAACCAAAGCCATTTCTCCTACTCAAAGATACACCAAGGAAAGCTCAGATGGTATCTGTCATAGTTGAATACTTCTGGGACATTGCTGAACAGAGGTTAAATATGGGTTAAATCAAGATTACAGACTTCTCTCCTGCAAATATTTGCATCAGGGCCCCTCAAGTCCTGTGAGGGGGAGACAGGAGAGCTACTGGGTTTCTATTCTGTACCGTTGCTCTGTGCCAAACCATAATTATATTCTGGCACTTGAGTATCCAGAAATTCAGAGTATTTTGAGCTGTTATTTATGGTTGCCAAATATATTTTTTATGTTTTGAATTACAAATGTAATACATAGGCATTTATCTAATATCATTCTTAATTCATGTTAAAAAAATGCAAAAGTTCCTCTTGAAGTACAGAGCAAAAAATATCCATCTGCTGTTGAAAATCAAAACTCCAAAAAGAACATTTGCTTTGGAGCAGCAGAAAAATAATTAGAAGATATAAACCAGAATCAGCTAAAAGGAAAAATATAGAAATAGAACCAAGACATTGCAATGAAATAAAAAATGGATTAAATGAAAGGTATTTGTCTGAATTAAATCAAATAAAGGGAATTAAAATACCATTAATAAAAATACCAAAGGTCATTTTTTTGAGCTTGATTCAGTGAGCACAATCATTTTTGCCTGCAATTTCCATTTCTAAATACAAAAGCCTAGATCTTGCACATATATTCTAATATCTGCCTGCCTATTCACTTACCAATTACACATACCTACAACGGTTTCTTCGGCTGTAGTTACATATGCTTTTAGTCTTTGGATAAATAGCGCTGTAAATTAGCTACCTTAAAACATAATGCAGCTGCATCACTTTGCACCAATAAAGTACAAGGAACAATAGGCAATGCTCTGTTGGATGATAAATACAAGCAACTAGCAGAGAGCTTAAGTGTACTTTTTGCCATGGTAAAGGCTCATTTTACTACTAAATACTGAGGTTGAGTGGGACACTATGATAATGTAATAATTTATTTAAAAAAAATAAAAAAATCTGTGTTTAAAGCATGAGCAGATCAATAATTCTTATGATTGTTAATATCGATACATAGCTTTGCCAGAAGATATTTTATTTTCCAAAAGAAAAGTGATCTATGAATTAAAAATAAAGACACGGTTGGACTATTCATGGTAGCATTAGTATGACTACCCATAAGTTAGTTATTTACATGGACAAAGAGTGCTGTAATTACCATTGAGGTCACATTAAACACCACCATTAACAAATAACATGCTACAACGAACATGCATCTTAGTTCCTCAGAATCTGTATCAAGCTAAATTGCTTTTGGAGATGGAATGAATTTAATTTGCTGCGACACCTCAATACTCTGAACTGTATTATTGTGTTTTCCTGCCATCTTTCCAGATATGCATCTTATCAGGGCTAGAAAAATCACTGCATTTTCAGATTAACAGCATGTCCTTTCTATGCTGTAGATTCCAAAGCCTGAGCAGTTCCTTCTCAAAAAGGCTTGGATTATTTTTCCATCCAGGTTTGACTACTCCACCTGAGCTCTTTCTTCCCTTTCTTCAGTCTCTCATAGTGGCATAATGGGCCAGAACAACTCTCATAGTATTTTAATGTCATTATATCCATTGAAACAACTACAGCACATGTTTATTTAGCCCTCAAGAACCCTCACTGAGGGCTAGAAGACCAGAGTACTATGCACTTACAGACACAAAGAAACTGGAAAACCTCTGGACCTAACAAACTATACACCACATCTGCCAGTGCTTTCAACGCAAACAAAAGCAAGCAGCACACAGGCATGTTGCATGTGTTGGACAATGAGTTCTGTGGCAATGTTTACGGTCTGCTTTTACACCTTGGCAGTGAAGGCTGAGTACCTTGATGTTGAGAGGAAGAAAATGGAGATGACCATACAGTCAGAATGGTGCAGACTGTTGCTGAAAACCCTCCTGTCCATCTGAATACCAGTTATCATCTCTCCCCCTCTACTCTTTAGTCATCTGCCACTTCATTTTACATCAAGTGGTAATTTCTTCCCACCCTTTGAGATGTCACCAATCTCCACGTCCTCCTACAGCCACCTTTTACAGAAAGAAAGAGGCTACAAATGCATTCTGAAAATAATGCTTTTGTCATGCAAGAAAAATATAACTTCTGTTCCATAAGCACTCTCTTTTTATTCATTGTGGCTTTGAAGCACACACACAGATGTCTTTTATGATCCTAAGCTTTGAGTGACACATTTCTGGAAACTCCAGTTTCTTAGCACCATGCCAGCATGGCTGGGGAAAAAAAAGATTAGGCACTAATAAGATCTGGAGTCCCAGAGAGATCAAAGCATAAAGGCGTAATTGTGGCTGGCAAAACAGTAGCTGGGAAGTGTCCCTAGCATGACAAGTGGCTCGTCCTTCCTGACACCCACCCTGAGCAGCTTTACACCACCTCTGGTGTCCTCATGATAAGGAAGGCTTCAATAGATCCAGATAGAGAGAAAAGAAAGATGAGCAGAGGCAAATACACCAGTACAAATCCACTATGTTGGCACTGGATTAAACCAGGAATTAAACTTTCCCCTGGACTTCTAAGAATTAAGGATTCGAATGAAACAGCACATAAACTCATATGTGAAATGCCAAGTGTGTTCCTGGGTCTGATTTCAAGTCCCTCTCCTGGTGCATGAAGACGACAGCCACTATTACTGCATTCGGTGAAAGGCATGCTCCTACCAGACCCTGCATCCAAGAGGACAGGATTTCTGGGATCGGAGGAAAGCTAGTGAGGACTCTGACTTTGCAATTCAATTTTTGTGACACTTGGCTAGGAGTAGGGAGTCTGAGTATTTTGACTATGGTGTTGGACTCTTTCGACTTGATACTTAGGCAAGGCTGAATGTGTCCTGCTGGAGACGTGCAGGTCTGCATCAGAGGGGATATTGTTTCAACGGCGAATAAAAAGGTCAGGCTGGAGACAGCAGGCTAGGTAGAAAATAGAAACAGGACTTTGAGAAGCTGGATGGAAATTTTCTTGAGATGACAACAATTATCATTATTCCTATTCATTGGAACAATCTAAGGAGAAATGATACATGAATTTTCCACCATTGTCAGTACAAAGTACAGAGGAGACTCTCAAGTGTACCAGCTGATAAATAAACAGGTTTTTGTAAAGCCAGGAGATAAAAAGGAAAATGTTCAAGTCAGCTGGGAGCCATGCTGGACCTTTGAAGGGATTAAGGAGGGCAAGCTGGAGTTGGTGGCAGATGCATGAAAAACCATCACTGGACAAGAACAGGACTGATCTGCTGCTCAGCTTGGACTTGCACGTTGAATTTCCAGCTCTCAGCTATTGAGCCTGGCAAAGAGATGGCTCAAATTTCCACAGAAAGGAAACCCCCAAGGCACACAAATACTGCCTTTGCAAGCACCTCTAGGAATTGAGGGTGCTGTAAGCATATCAGTATGAAAGCTTTAATAAGAATAACTCCTCTTCTGATAATAAAAATAAACTACATGCTGGTAAAACACATTTTTGTCTCTATAAAACACCCTGAAGTAATCTCCTTAGTTGCACCTTTTTCCCAGAGTCAGTGCTAAGGTTTATGGCAATTAATGGTCAGGCTGCCCTTCATGCCCCCCCCCTAAAGCACTGCAGTGTATTGCAAACAGCACACAAAAACTTTTGTTATGATGCTTGGCTTTTACATCAGGAAAACATGGCAACCTGAGCACATCGGCTGAAATTTTTTTTAATTATTTTTGTCATCTTTAATAGACTAAAAAGAAAAACACCAGTCAAAAGTATGCTGTTGCTTAGCGATTTTAGCTGGATGTTACGCACACTTGCAGGAGAAAAGGCAGACAAAGCAAGGCCTGGCATTGCTTTTATGTAAACTGCTGTAAAGGAAACATCCTCGTCAAGGATGTGGGTTCAAGCAGCTCTTCAGCTTGAAGGAATTATTTTTACTTATTCTATATTAAATAAATAGTATTCCAGATTTGATATTTCCTGGGGAAAGTTCATAACTACTCCAGGTCATTGTGGACTAGGGCATTTTTCAAGTTTTGCCTTGAAAGTATATGTATATTCCCCTGTGAATATGCAAATCATGGTGGATCTGGTTTTGAGTAATCTAACTCTTCCCATTAACCTGATACTGCTGTGCGCCTCAATTTTCATCCCAGGACCTTGAGACCTGAAAGCAAGCACTGTAGAATTTAACTACATTTCTCATAGATTTTTGCCCCTGTCGAATTCCCCATGGTACCGTTTTAAACATCAGCTTCATACTCACAAAGTAACACCAACACAGAGGTGTTAGACATAGCAAAAGCAGATCTCTTCCCTTCCTTCCTCTATTTCAGGGCTAGTGTCCTGGCACTGGCACCCAGACAGATTTGGCCTCTGCTAGCTCAAAATCCCCAATGAGGTCTGGCCTGTGAGATCCTGGCCAAATCACTGCACTCCTCTGAGCCTCATATTTGACATCTGCAAAGCCAGGACAACCATAATGACTTCCACGGTGAAAACTCTTCAAATCTGCTTCTGAAAAGTACTATGAGAGAGTCATATTTTATTTATTATTGTTGTTGTTATTACTACTAGTGTTCCTATGTGGTCCCGTCATCTCTGTGAGCTCCTTACAAACAGATAAGTGAGCATTCATAGAGCATGAACGACTGGAATGTCAGTTAAATTTACTGTTTATAATTT